CGGCCAGGGATTGCTCGGGGTCAGGGGCCGTGGCGGGGCGGCAGGGAGAGAGGAGCCCCGGGGCTCCCTCCGGACCTGATGCGCCCCTGGAAAGCCCCGGCGTGCGTCGGGGAAGGTGGGATCGCCTTCTCACCCTCCGGGGCATGCCAGAGAGCCCCTCCCGCTCCGCGAAATCATTTGCTTTCAGATCGTCTCTAATCTGCTAGCTTTCCCCCAAACATTGGATCGCGTTCCAGGAAACGGTGGGCATCAAATCTAAACCCAGCAGGACGCCTTTAAACGATGTTGCATTGGTAGGCTGTGTCATGTTGTCCCCAGCTTCCACGCGGCTCGGGCTGGCGGGAGGATAATGCCTCCTGATTAGGAAGTGAAAGACAAGCGCGAGCTTTCGCTCTCTTCCTGCGCGCGTTTGTGCGTGTACGTGTGCTCAGATCCTTCTTGTATATTCTGCGGAGACAGGAGTCGGAGATCAGGGGAGTCTAAAATGCAGCATGACTGCAACACATACAAGTGGGAGCGCGCCAGAATGCCTCTGACAAGTTACACCAATTATATACCAGTTATTTGTCACATCTGTTAACTCATCAGTTCGCATTTCAGCAGGAGGAGGCTATGTCTAAAGATAAGATGGCACCGAGGAAGCGGGGCAGATTGATGGTGCGGAAGGGTGCTGTTTGCGAGTCCTCGCCCGGCGCCAGCTCTCCCCCGCCCCGGGATGATGCTCCATAAATATGCATGCAGCATGGCAACGGGGTCTCTCTGGGTTTTGACATGTATTATATGTTGGAATAACTCCGAGGGATTTCTGCACAGTATAATAATGAGCGTGCCCGGTAATAGCCGGCTCTGAGAAAGGAGACAAAGCTGGAGTTACCACACCTGCGGTTTAATAGTTGGAGAATCATGATCTTAGAAAACCAGTTTGCCCTAACGGCGTTATCCGTACAGCGCAAGCCTCTTGTCTCGTTTAAGCTGGTGGTGGGGGATGTTTGCAGCCAGAGGACTCTCAGAAAGGATACGTTTTCTGACAGCAAGAAGGTCACCCAGACCGAGAGCGCTGCTGCGTGCTGCTGCGGCACTGAAATCTCCCTGCCCTCTGTTTGGCTTTGCGATACCGGCCGAGCGTTAGGGATGGGGAGGCCAGCCGAGAACATGCTTTCCTGGGGGAGTCGAGTCTGAGCGCAGGGAGAACGTCCCCCCTTCCCTCGCCTTCCCGCATCGTGGGATGTCGCAGGAGGAGCGGCGAGCGCATCCCTCCACCGGGCAGCTCGCGTGGGGAAGGCTGGGACAGTCCTGGGAGGGCTCCGTGCATCCCCTTTCCCTCCAGTCGGAGTCGACACCCTCCAGCTCTCCCAAGGTGGCTTCAAATCACGGATGTGCCGCACTGAATATAATTACACAGACATGATTTGCACGGCACGCCGGTCTGTCTGGGCTGACACCTTGCTCCTGGCAGCAGCCGGTGTCCCCTGCTTCAGAGGGAGGTGACACCGCGACCGCTCACAGGGTCACCTGGGCAGCCGCGAGGGAAACCCTTCCCGACCTCCGCAGCCATTAGCTCGCCACCCTCAGCGCGGGAGCTGATTAGCCCTCTGTCTCTTATGCACGCTTACAAATGTTATTATTGATCATAAAATTAGGCAGCTCCTCTTTAAATCCAGCTACAGTTAACTTCATGACCTCGGGCGGTCGCTAATTCTGCAACTGCCGACGTGCCGGGCGAGGACACGCGTACCTGCCTGCGCTCTCTGTCACCCAGCGGTCCCGCGCTGGCGAAACCGGCAGCATCCACCTCTCATTTTACTCATCCTCTTCTCAAGCATTGGGGGCAGATGTCCTCTGCCCCCTCTCCTCGCCCGACTAGAGGAACGCCACCTTTTCCCTGGGCAAACCACGCATCTGCAGGGAGAGCCAGGACCGGGAGCAGACCTGGCCCCGGGGAAGACCG